CGCCGTGGCGCCAGCGGACGTCAGCATTTGCTACGATGACGGCAGAGAGGTGCCTCGTCCGACCGTGGCCGCTCGTATGACGCCGCCCGCCGAGTCGGCGGCAGTCTCGCCGCGCTCCGCCGGCTCGCCCGTCTCCAGCGGCGGCGGTGCGGGGGTACAGGTGCCGGCCGAGCCGTCCTGCTGCGGTGCTGAGCTGCGCGCCGTGCTCCGACTGGTGGCCGACAACGGCCGGCAGCTGGCGCAGCTCCGAGCCCAGTTCCGGCAGCTGCTGAGCCGCGAGACGCCGCCGACACCCCCAGCGCGGTGCGTGCTGATGCGCGAGGCTCACACCCAGACAGAGGACGACACTCCGCGCCGGCCGACCACTGCGGCGGCGGCAGTCAACACCAGCTTCAGTCTAACGCCGCGCCGCGATGTGGGCACCGACCCTGCGGCTCCGTGTCCGCCGGCCCGCGCCGATCGGACGGCCGCTCCCCCTCCTCCGGCCGAGCGGGCGGCCGCTGTCCCTCCTCCCGCCGCCGAGGTGACCGGCAGCGGCGGCCGAGAGAACACCGCCCAGCTGCAGCGGCGGCGCGTGCAGGAGTGGGTGGCCGGCGAGGGCTGGGCCGAGGAGGCCGAGCCGGAGCTGACCCTGCGCGGACTGGTGCTGCCGCCCGTGCCCGAGCAGCAGCCCAGTCCCGAGGCCAGTGTGCACGTGGACATGCCGGTGTACCAGCAGTCGCCGGGAGGGTGAGTGTACAGCCGCTGATAGTGGCGGGGTGGGTGTTATTCTTGGATTGGACCGTTCGATATTATTGCTGGGGTGAATTATGGGCATTGTAGCCGAGAAGAAGTTAAGGTTGCTGGTCGTCAATGGCTGTGAATGGAATGTTTTTTTTTTTTTTGCCATTTCCGCTGGGAGAACTATGGGTAGGTCCATAGACCTCTGTACACCTGGACTGAGCGCAGACATTTCGGCCATGACCATAGTGGCCCTAACTTTCAGATGTTATATCTCGAGATCAGTAACACCCAGATAGGTCCGGTCTTCACTGTTTGATGGCCTCGTGCATTAAAAATTGAATGCAGTGTCTGCGGGAGATATCGGCTGGCACAGAGGAGGGTCTGCGCGTGGCGCGTGAGGGGTGTTTACAAAGTTGGTCTAATGATATCTCCAGAACCGCGTCACTGATTGAGCTCAAATTTGGTATGTGACCAGATACAATACATCGAACACTATCACATTTCTCAAATAGGGGGTGCTGGTGCACGTGCGCACGTGTACACCCCTTCTTTATATCTCAGTAACCACTGGCCCGATTGAGCTCAAATTTGGTATGTGCCCAGATGACATACATTAGCCACTATTGCATTTCTGAAACAGGGGGTGCTGGTGCACGTGCGCACGTGCGCACCCCTTCTTTATATCTCAGTAGCCACTGGCCCGACTGAGCTCAAATTTGGTGTGTGGCTAGATGACATACATTAGCCACTTTTGCATTTCTGAAACAGATGGTGCTGCTGTGGGTGCTGCCGCACGTGTGCACGTGCACACACTTTCTTATGTGTCCGGAACTGCTAACCCGATTCTTGGGCCCGATTGAGCTCAAATGTGGGGCCAAACATCAAGCAACTGCCGCTAACGCATTTCTGAAACTGTATGGGCGCATTCTGGAACCGCTGACAGTGCACTTCCCTTTTTATGCAAACTAATCGGCGCGTGCCATTGCTCTCAAGTTCGGAGTGCAGTATCATATCATGCATCTCCGTCAGAGGCAACCCTCGAACAGGGGATTCTGTTCTAAGTTTACAAGAGAACAGTAGCTGCGGAACACCTTCAATTAAGGAGGGAGGGGGGGGGGGGCACTGCCGACTTTTGGTCCCATTCTTTCCATGCAACGCCCATAGGGCTAATGTTAAAATGCCAAAATCAAAGGGGGCACGGTGCCCAGGTGCCCTCCCCGTTCCGCCGCCTATGCAAAAGAATGTCTCTTTCGAATGGTTTTATTTGACTTTTTCCACTTTGAACAGTAGATCTGTAAACGATTTATAAAAAACTCATTGCAAAACGATTTTATTTTACTGAACTTTCTTATTCTTCATACCTACACGAATGAATAACCAACTCCACAGAAGTCATAACGTATCACACGAATGCGAAACGGCCCCCGCTAAACCAACGCCACGGCCTCATTATTGACTCTCAGGCATTCGCACTCGATATTCCACACGGACCAGCGTTCAACCACCAGCCACCAAAACCGTTATGTCACTCGGTGACCTGTCAAGGACAGCGACGACAAAGTGGCCGTGTAGGAGATATTGTCCCTGTATACCATCGAAGTACATAATTCTACAGCTACGTAATTTTAGTACGTAATTACATTTCTTTCACGCCAACGTTTAGGCTGCTGATATTATCACGGTTTTGTGTGTTGTCCGTGGGCTGGTCGCGTTGCCGCATGCATGCACATTGCACACTACTGACGTTTATCTCACTACTGCCGGCTACCATGGCCGGCTACCACGTCTTCAATATGTCCTTATTCAGTCTGGGGCCTGATCTATGATGCATGCCCCACTGACGCATGACAACACTTAGGCACTTGAGCAGTGCTACGGGTTGTCCTCCACGTGGCACATAAGGAGATAGCACACGGGTAGCTCCGTCTGAACAGTCGATATTCTCACAGCCCAGGCAGTCCTCCGTCGCGTGACGGTCGATGCTGTTTGCCTACTGAGGCACGAGCAGCACTACCTATATAGGCTTAGGTAGTGCTGCGTGGGTGTTACTGATCTCGAGATATAACATCTGAATTCTGAAAGTTAGGGCCACTATGGTCATGGCCGAAATGTCTGCGCTCAGTCCAGGTGTACAGAGGTCTATGGTAGGTCCAAGTTCAAAGAGTCTGAGTTCAAGCTACCGACCCGTTCATAGGTAGTCCGATCAAACGTGATAAGACGGACAGACGCATGAATATGGATTGCGTATGAATTCGTGGTTCCATTTTCCGAATGACTGTCGCCTAATTGCAGACCTGCAGTGTATTCTGTATGTTGTTCGGCTTTATATTATTTTTGTAATTTTCCTTAACTACAACGGATTAACGAAGTGTGCTGTTGTTTTTCAGGTCTTGCGACGGCTCTGTGGCCGATGACGCCGAAGCAGACCGACCCAGACGGCCGGACACGACCTTCTTCCAGAACGTTATGGTAAAGAACGAGGACCCCATTTACCTTGGCACTGCCGCCGTGTTTGCGCTACACACGATGACTTGGTGTATCCGTGGTGCTACAAAAACACTGCCTCTTGTCCAGGACAAGACTGCCTCTTGTCCAGAGTCCCAAAATTTGTAGATGTGTCATGTGGGTGGGAAACGACATCCAAATGCAAATCATTTTCCACTCTCACCTCCAGTTTTCAAGCCCAATTTTCCACTCCCCATTCCACCGAGAAGGAGCAATTGCGGGAATGGTTGTTTTACATCTGTCACAATTGTAGATAGATTAATGTTTTTGATCATTTTCCCACTCTTTTTGGGCCTTACCTGACCGACAATTTTTCACTCTCATCCTTTTTTTGGTCAGCAATTTTCCCCTCTGACACCCAAGCAAAAATATGATTTTGGTACACTGCTTCTCCTCCCCCGTCGCAGGGTCAGGTGAACCAGATTCTGGACGGCGCGGCGGCGCGGGCCGAGTCCGGCGGCTCGGCCGAGGCCAGCGACAAGTCGCAGAGTCTGTCGGCGTCGCCGGTACCGCGTCACCGGGACGAAGAGGTGATCGAGGCCGAGACGGACCCGGTGCGGCGCGCCACCCTGCAGCAGCTGCGCGCGGCCGGCGTCAGTCTGGTCACCAGCCAGGCCAACGACGAGTGAGTCAGGCTCCGAGCCGAGGGCCACGGCCACTCGGATGGGCTGGTAGACGCTTAATGGGAAGGGGGTTAATTAGGCTTTGCGACGGATGCTACTTTCTCTTGCAGAAAAACAATAACACTTTAAGAATGGGCTCTGGCACGATGAGTATGGTTAGGTTCAATGTTTTCTTTCCGTGTAGTAGGTTGAAAATGGCCGTATGGAATTGAGGTGAATTAAAGCGTGTTGGATCCAATGTTCTATCTATCTCATCACAAATAGCTTTTGATCAGCGTGCCGTTTAGATCGTTCAAAAAAAGGCCGCAGTTCGGTGTCCCTGCCTTTTCTCTCGCCCCCACCCCCCGTTGTCCTGTTTCCTCATTCCCTGGTGGGGGACCCCTTAAGCCTCACACGTTTGACGGTCGCCATTTCTCAGGTCAGTGCTGGACTACTCGTGTCCCCCACGGGCCGTGCGGACCACGGCAGCCGTGCCGTGCAGCACGGACCTCAGTCTCGAGATGAACACACTGGCCATGAAGTACGTGGACAGCCGGCAGCTGATGCAGCGCGCCGCCGCAGGTACGTGACTAGATGGGCACACAGTCGAAAGGGGTGATTTAACGGATGAGATTCGACAGCCGCTGATCTTAAGCCGATTGTGGGCACCGCAGTGCAACCGGGAATAGATGTGTCAGCACATTCCGACGGAATGTGCTGTGTGCTACGGAATGATTCCGTATCACACTGCAGCAAAGGATTGAATTCAGTGTTGTCGTCTGCTAGCCACACTGAGGTTGGTCATGGTATAAAAACATATTGTTCTACATAACTTATCCCTCACGCATGTCTCACCGCAGAACTAAAAACGAACCCGGAATGAATTGACTGAACCATCATGAACTAATTCCAACTACCGTATTTATCGAGGCCTGGCCCTGACATCTTCCTGTTCGGTTTCAGTGGGCGGCCGGCCGTCGCCGCACCCAGTCGAGGCGCGTCTCCTGGGCAAGGAGAACCTGGCGCCGCCCTCGCGCGGCCGACCCACCGACATGACCATGTACGGCATCTCCGACTCCAACATGTCCTTCTCCACCAGGAAGTACATGGAGAAGTTCAACCTGCAGTCATGACGCGACACCAGCCGTCGTAGCGGTAGGACACCGGTCTGCCCCGAATAGCTGAGATTTATTCAATGGTTTATATGTTTAACAGGGGCCAACGCTGCGCCGCATGTTGTTACGCACCGCTAATTCTGTACAATACATTAAAACGTGCTTCAATCCGCTAGTGTCCACCGTCACCAGTTCGACAACTCTGTGACGGTAACAGTCAAACGGCTCGGCCTTCTGAGACATCTTACACACATCAACATTCGTGAACAACCCAAGAGCGATTCAGCAAAGACGCTGCTAATACGATTAACATCACAGAACCGTCGGCGCTGCCAGGCGACGACACGCCAGCTCTACGCGTGAATATCACACACTACAGACTCTGCACTATCATAAGGAGAAACTCTCACCGCAACCGCACGTGCCCTTGATGTTTGGGTTGTTGAACACAAATTCACTGGCCAGCTTTGTTTCCGAGTAGTCCATCTCTGTGCCGAGCAGAGAGAGCTGCGCCTTCCGATCGATTAACACGGTAACGCCTGCAGTAGAAACATGTCCGTGAATGTCATGGCATTAGCAGAAACGTGTAACGTAATTTCAAACTGGATGTTGGACTGGATGCATAAAAATCGTGTGTGATTATTTAATTTTAGTCGACAAAGGACTCTATCTTACTCCTTTTGTCTCATGCTTTAGATTAGAACACTACCAGATTAATGACGATCTATGTAAGAGAGGATATTTTAAAGTTGACCAACGTGGCGGTTCACTTTTGCCAAGCTTACCATCTTGTTTAACTTCTTCATCTAGCTTTCCCTTCTCGAAGGCATAGTCGAGTGTGTAGCTCAGCCCGTTGCACCCTCTCTGCCGAACGCCAACCTTGAGGCCAATCTGTGATGCATATGGAGATCAGTTTGATGCTGCCTTGGATGCTGCTCTCATAAAAGGCACTAGTTTTAAGGAAATCTTAGGCCATCAGCCAAGAAAGACACATTATCTAAAGAAAGATGCAAACAAGTTTTCTCTTGGCAAACAAAAATGTATGACAACCTGAGGATAATTCATCACTACCACATTTCACTCCACATTTATATTCAACTAGGAACTTTGAGTATTAAGTGGACAAGTCAAGTAAAAATATGCCCTGAATAAGAAATATGAGGAGTTATCAAAATTTATCACATCTTATTACGGAGCGAGCGAAGCGAGCGGAGTCTTTCCTTAGATTAACGGAAATTTCTGAGTATGAGCGGCCGGCCGGCCGGCCGGCCGGCCGTGGGGACGCTCTTCAAAAGCTAATATCTTAGGAACGGGACATCCGATTGACAAGCGGTCTTCTTTACTGAATGTCACTTGGACGTAAAAGTTCTGTGGTGTGATGGCCACCATGCCTTCTTGCCAACCACCGCACGTGGCGCGTGGTAAAGTTGGACATTTTTTAAGAACCCCCAAAATTGCAACCTCAATAACGGCACAACGGTTGGGCCGATTGAATTGAAACTCGGTACACAGTTAGGTCTCCATCAGATAATTCATCTGCATGTGTTAAGGTTGGGGTGCTGCTGCACGTGCGCACGTGCAGGGGTCGTTTCCAGATCTCGAGAACGGCTGGACCGATGGCGCTCAAATTTGGTACACGGTTAGGGACCAGTTAGTAGGGTGCCGTGCACAAGTCAGTTGGGACCCATTTTGCACGTGCGCACGTGCAGGGTGCCGCTTCCAGATCTCGAGAACGGCTGGGCCGATTGTGCTCAAATTTGGCACATCGCTAGAGACCGGTTAGTAGGGTGCCGTGCACAAGTCAGTTGGAGGTACCCCCTCGAAATTTCGCACGTGCAAGGCCCACCCTCTCGCTCGCTCCGTTAGTCGCCCCATAAGGCGTTATACTGGTTCTTACCTTTCAAAGAATACTTGCATTTACAAAATATTTATTGGCACACATTTAAAGATTTGAATAGGAATTTTTTAAGAACAATGTATACTTACTGCATCTGGCTTGGCACTGAGGACAGTCTTGATTTTATCAACTGCATTCTTAGTCTGAAAGAGAAAAATTATCTCAAACGTTTTCAAAAAGCTGTCTACAATCACTAGCATAAGCAGGCTAAGTGAGAGTAATTAAGACATGTTAAAGATTTTTATGGAAAGTACCAGTAAGCCAACATTGACTGATTGACCTGCTATTCAATCTCGCAGAGCACATATCAGTCATGCTTAAAGTTTCTTAACAGTTCACACTTTGTTCAACTTAAGTACCTCTACAGCTGAAAACCCTATGAGTAATTGGTAGGTAGTAGTAAAGCAGCTGTCACACTTTTTTAGCAACCAAGGAGAGGCACTGTAGATTAGGTTTAAGGTTTTAGGTGGTAGGTTTTAGGTTGTAGGGAATGTTTGGTTTGGTTTGATTAAAAAGCATCTCTGGGTGTAGCGTCTCTCCTTGGTCGAAAAAAAACAAGCTTGACACATGCTTTACAACTACAAGTAACTTTTACCTATGATATTTCTGACTGTTATCGTTCAAGGTATCATACTCAAGTATTACTCACCAGAACCAGTGCTGCCCTCGTAGGGATCAGCCTTTTGCCGCCTCGTACTGCTCTGACAGTGGCGGTGGCGACAGGAGCAGCCATTCAGAGGCTGAGATGTCTGACAATGGAGTAGGTACACTTATTGATGAAAGGAAGATTTGAATCTGTAACTGGGGAGTATTGCTTTATAAATTTGCTGCCTCCCCAGCTAACTCAACGTTAACAATCTGTTCTTGTTATCGAATAAGGCTCAATCTTTACCACACGTCTCAAATTTATTTCAAAAAGTGAGAATCAATGTTTGATGAGCTTGAGAGGGTGCTGGGTACACTTGAGAGGTCCTTGAAATAAACTCAACTTTGATGTGCTTGATCCTTGGCTTGAGACTTGAAATAAATTGAAAGATATATAATATAAACAGTGATATAAACGCATCACATCAAATCTCTACTGCGCATATTTTGACGCAATCGTTCCGATTATGTAACGATTTCCGTGCTGCCTTTGTGCTGCCAAATAAAGTGAAGTAAAATTTGGCAGGGGGAAATTGCAAGAGCCGCTAAGTTGAAGTAAAATGATCGTGGGAAAATCAGAAATGTCATTTGGGCGGTTGCACAGCCTTGGCACAGCCTGCAAGCTCGGGTGCGGGGCCCGGGTCGGATGTGTTTGCTATCTCAAGGTCCAAGGAGCCCCCTGGCCTGGCTCTTTGAAGAAAAAAATATTCGAGGAATGCAGACTGGATAAGTGTTGTTTTCGGACTGACATTAGAATGTTACCCCGTCGAATGATGTGCCGTTTTTTAGGTTAACTTTAGTGTTATCTTCATAGTTCATGGTAAGGTCACTGGTCTGTGGTCAGTGGTCCGCATATTTCTATATGTTTTGCCATTTCGGCGTATAAAGGCCTGGCTACACTATGCGTTTTCTGCGTGCGTTTTCTGCGGGTTTGCGTGTTTTGCGTAATATCGTTCTAGAAAAAGAACGATATTACGCTTTTGTGATGTTTTTTTTATGATAAATTTTGGTAAATATAAGAGTTTTAATAGCTTTCGTATATAACGAATGTAAAACTTATATTATTTATCACTTTTTTCTAGAACGATATTACGCAAAAAGCGCAAACCCGCAAAAAAACGCACGCAGAAAACGCATAGTGTAGCCAGGCCTTAACTCGTGAACGAATAGAGGTGCACAGCGCCACGGCAAAGCCGCGGAGCATCCGGAGGATAAAAGCTATCAAAATTGACGTTATTGAAAAAACCTAAATCTGGAAAACTTTTCACACAGGCTTTATTTGTTATTCATTTCACCAGAATCGTGTCTTTTTCGTGTTTCGAGACGCGATGAATGAAGTACTCTAAAAAGCAATTTTGAAAATTTGCCCTGAGGTCAAGGTCAAGAGCTGACCGGAAAGGATCACGCTGCGTAACAGTCGATGCGTATTGTTGGGCTAAATGCATCCAAGGTATGTAAGTACCTATTTTCATCGCTCTGGCGTACCTCTTTCAAAAGTTATTGTAGGAAAAATTGTTTGAGATCCTTTATGACCTGAAGTGACCTCTCTCAGGGCATAAAAGGGGCGGGTCACGGGTGCAATTTTTACGAATGTTTAGAATGAATTCCGTCCAAAATAGCGCAGTTCAGTTTTCCCTATTTATTGACTTAGGTATAGGATTGGAAAAGTTGCAAAATTGTCTTCAACAATCTCCAGCTTTTTACGGGTCTAGAAAAACGTAGCTCACAGCGCAGCGAAATTTTTGATAGTTTTTCATACCTAAATTTTGCATCTTGCAGAGCCAGAAAGCAACTGGTTGAGGTCAGTTCACATGAGGTCAGGTCAACAGGTCGTTATAAGCAGGGCTGCGGAGTCGGAGTCGGAGTCGGAATCGGAGTCGGTCGGAGTCGACAGTTGTGACCGGAGTCGGAGTCGGAGTTGGAGTCGATTTTAGAAACCCGAGCCGGAGTCGGAGTCGGAGTCACCGAAAATCTGTCGACTCCGCAGCCCTGCTAGGTCTGCGGAGTCGGAGTCGGGAGTTGGAGTCGGTCGGAGTCGACAATTCTGCCCGGAGTCGGAGTCGGAGTCGGAGCTGGTTTTTGAAAGCCGGAGTTGGAGTTGGAGTCGGAACTCGGAGTCGCCGAAAATCCATCGACTCCGCAGCCCTGGTTATAAGTAACTATACCATGCCACCTTGCAATTCTGTCATTCCTACAGCTCATCTCTTAAAAGTTCGAAGCTCGGTAATATTGCACGAAGATACCAGTGCCAGCTAGTAGGTATACCTATGTACTGTAGCCTGGGGTGAGTCATATTTGTTACCTCACCATCACAAGACGATGGAGGAAAATCAAAGGCCTCCTCACCCTGCCTTGAACGAAAACGTCAAAATCTTTTTCATAAATATGACAGTGTTTACTCAAGTGATTACCGACATAGGTACCTACCTATATGCTATTGGCAGGATGCAGCTGATGGCCGGCTGTCACTCAAAAGTTCATGCAAGGTCATAAAAGGTCACCAGCCATTTTTCGACAAAAACTTTGAATTAAATCATGGGAGATCGATAAAAGCTCCTAGAATGTGTTCAGCTGAACAATGGTTAATAACAATCGATTGATATGCAGCATAAGCTTTCTCGGGTCAATGTCATGACGATTGAAGATCAATTTTCAAGCTGACCTGTAAGGACTAAATTAAAGTTTATTTGACGCGTCTCGACAACAGAACTCTAGTCTTCACTTGGACAGCTTCAGAATGTGTTTAAGCTCTTTGATTTTTCTCGTATTCGCAAGCCGTAGTCCGTAGACTTCAATGCCTACGATAAGGCCAGGGTAGCGATAAGGCCGTTTTCGAGGTGCGTGCATTTGGAAAGGCTCGTGCTCTGTCCATCGCTGAAAAATAATAAAATCTACACATTTCAATTTATGATTGGAAAGCACTTAATGTTTCGAGTTATTTTGTAAGGTCTTTAAAATATTCCGGGTTTTACGTTACCTTTAATTACGGCCAATGGAGTGCACCGACCATTTCCGAGTGTTGTGAAAGCTGTTGGAAATAGTGTGCTGCTGATGGCCGATTTAAAATGCTATTTGGTCGCGGTTGTTGAAGAAGACGGTGAGATTAAAAAGACTGAAGAAATACTATATCGCTGAACATGCCCACCAACAGCCAGGCAAATACCGTGAGTATAATAGGGCCTGTTTGGGAGGATTTTATAGCAATGAGGCTCGAGCGTGAGCTGCTCGAGAAATGAAAAAAGATTTTTACTAGAAATACAGGAGTCAACATGAAGTGTTAAGAGTGTTTAAACCGTTATTAAGTACTTAGCAATTTAAGCTGGTTTATTTATTAAGTATCACATTTATTTAAGATTTAAGATTACAAAACACAACGCGAGGATAGCAAAACTATAATAACATCTGGTGCATGTGACTCCGGATATGGGAAAATCGCGCAAAGCCGGCAATTCAAGCGCTGGCGTAGCCGTTGAAGAAATCATGGAGAGCCAGATTGTGGAAAGTAAAATGAAGAAGAAGCAAAGAATACTGAAGGAGATTCGAATGAATGAATCAGGGCCTCGTCTAACATGTTAACTGGTGGGCCAAATGGCCCACCAGTGATCCGAAATGGCCCACCAGCCTCAACGTTTTGGCCCACCAGTAATTTTCCGAAAAATTTAAGTTTTCACATTTTTCACATTTCAAATTGAAATAGCAGATCTTATCGTACATTTTCAGGCTGTAAAGTACCCATTGGTGAAACATATTCTTGTGAAGAAAAAAAACTTCAACCTATTGTTTGCAATATCCTCTTGGGGTAAAAAGTGAACTATAGTGGACTACGTGGACTAAGCCTCGGTCACACTTCACCGGATTGGACCAATGGACGAGAAACGGACGGCGTCCGGTGATGTCCGGGGGATGTCCGTTCGTTTCCGTTGGACGTCCGTTTCTCATCTGTTAATATCTGTTCCATGTCCGGTGGTGTCCGGTGTGCTCAACCGGACACCACCGGACATGGAACGGATATTAACGGATGACAAACAGACGTCCAACGGAAACAAACGGACATCACCGGACGCTGACAGTTATCGTCTGTTTCTCGTCCGTTGGTCCAATCCGGTGAAGTGTGACCGAGGCTTTAAATTTTATGCAATAATCGCGAAAGACGTCTGCCTCTGTCAATTACAGATAGTGTCGGCGGCTTCCAGCCGATCGAGGTCTGCGAGAGTTCTTGCAAGCTTTCCGATCGATCGAGTGGTTGCAGTCACACAAGCATCTGCCGCAGACCAGTCGGTTACAAGAAAAACTACGAATAAAGAACAGACCAGTTCAGACGGTCGGGGATAAGCCTGCGAGCGATCTCAGACGGCTCGCCGATAGACACGATATAAGCCAGAGTCAAACTAGAGGTAGTGTCGGCGACTTCCAGCCGATTGAAGTCTGCAAGCGACATTATGCGTCTTCACGACCGGTATGATGCTTGCAGTCACACATCTGACCAGTTGGACGAATTTCGAACCGTTCACAGTCAGCGTTCCAAAAATTTCTCATTTGGGCTGAAGATGACACTCAAGAATAAGAATGGATAATTTTCCACTCTCACATTTTGGGTGGCTCGAATTTTCCACTCAGACACCCAAGAGAAATCTGAAGTTTGGGACACTGTTCACCAGAAGTGAACGTGTACATAACTTATGAGATGATTTGGCGCTGAAATATTGGCGCCCAGTGGCCCTGACAAGAGGCGCCCAGGATCAGTATGTACAGTGACACAACACGATTGGATATATCGGTGCGGAGCGTACTGAAACGACGTTATTCGACTGATTTTTGCATCCTAGTCCTAGTATGCGGCACTCCGATGAGTTGCGAATTGAAAATTGGCGCCACTGCGCCTTCGGCGCAGTGGCGCCAGTTTTCCTTGGGTGGGGGCTGCCAGCCCCCGCAGCCCCCCCCCCCTGGATCCGCCACTGATATCAGGGTTGCGCAGTGCGCTTGGGCTTTTCAGTCAATTATTTTCCATGCGACACCAATAGGCTTAATGATCATTTTCAGAGACGTTGGGGTTGCTGCTACAACCCCCTTTTGGGGTTCCTGCTACAACCCACTTTATATGTATATAAAGTTGCACTCGTGCTGTTCACAATTCCTCCCGATCCACCGAACAACGCCCGATCCCGTCCGACCGCTTCCGAATCTCCGGCTAGTCGGCGAGCGATCCACTCACGGCCGTAAGTTATCGTCCAAAGTTTTATAATCTACGTCAATATTGTGTGCATACTTGTGCCACGGAATATATAGTCTACGACATGTCGATATGTCGATATGTACTACGATATGTCGTAGACTAAAATTCCGTGCTTGTGCGATTTTTTTTTGTGCACCGCGGGAGTATCACCACTGAGAGGGTTGTGGGTCCCTACAGCTACTCTCTCCTCTCTCTCTCTCTCTGAAGAGTCGGGGGGGGGGGGGGTCGAGCCCCGTTTTTTTTTACATTTTTTGAATGCCATCCTGACGTTTTTTGCAGAATTAAGTGGCCGAAATCTGGGGAGAAATCGGAAATTGGGGGGGGCATGGCTACGAAGGTCAGTCCATGTCGCTGCCCAAGTGGCCCACCAGTCAAAATTCCTTAGCCGAGGCCCTGGAATGAATCCAAGTTAAGTTCGCTGATTTGCGACCAAGAATCCTCACTCTCAGAGCTCCAAAAGATAACAGGTGAGCTAGGAGAGCAGGCGAGTGAGCTATTAGATGTAGTAGAGGCCATCTGGGAAGAGAAGAACAGCGGTGAAGTAGAATCAGGACCACTATGGGACATGTTTCATGGAGTAGAACTTAGAAGCCAGCATTCAAGATTCCGTCAGCATGGCAAACAAGTATATCCGCAAGAAACTGTTAGGAAACCTGTATTGTGAGGAAACAAGTGCGAGCAGTGAAGCGAGTGAACAGCCGAGCACGCAAAAAGAAAATGAAGCAAAGGACAAGGAAAACACGAACCGATCCCAAGATGCGACGGATTCGTCCATCAAGGGTATAAAGCCGCCAGAACTGCCTATATTCGATGGCAGAAAGGGTTACAGTGACTGGAGGGCGGTATTCGATGCTTTCGTCGGCAACTCGAACGCGTCGGCTGAGCTCAAGATGGTCTACCTCAAGAACAGTTTGACCGGCGAGCCCCTACAAATGGTAGAACGATATGGGTTGTCGAAAGCTGGTTATGAGAAAGCTAGAGAAGAGTTGGAAAGAAAGTATGGTGGTCATGCCAGGCGAGTGCGAGCAGAGATAGCCAGCATTCGCAGCTTCCCCAAGATAGGTGAAAACGATACAAAGATGCTTGAAGAGTACTCAAATAAGGTGACAAGTCTCGTCACCAGTCTGAAGGAAAATGGATCAGACGGAGATCTTTCGGAAGTATCAGCATTTTATATGCTTGTGTCTGAAAAAGTTCACCACTCCTACATCAAGAACTATCAAAGGTGGCTAAGCACGACGAGTCAACAAGACAGCTTCGAAACATTTTCAAAGTGGCTAGCTGAAGAAGTCATGCTGGAAAAAAGAGCCAAGGAAGCAACAGCAGCCAGTAGCGAGCAGGATGAGCCAAGACCTAGAATGCATAGCCGCGGAACAAAGAAGACGTACGCTGTCACAAGGCAGGCCAGCCGGCATGTCTTCAGTCGGCTGAAATGTGCAGTGTGTCACGCAGAACACGCGACTGAAGATTGCGCTGAACTACAGAACTGGGATGTTGCTAGAAGATATGCATTCTGCAAAACCGAAGGATTGTGCTTTAGATGTCTGCGTGGCAAGCACAGGGGAACTAACTGCCGCAGGTTTCCCGGCTGTGCTGTTGAGGGCTGTGGTGGCACTCATCACAGCCTCCTGCATGCCAGTGGAGGTGGAAACTCTCGAAACTCACCTGAAGTAGCCCGACCGTCTTACAGGACTCCGACACTCAGCAGCCAGGCCAAGGAATTCATTCCGAGAACGGTCGAGGGCCGCGCTTGTGCTAAAGAAGATAGTGCTCCAACAAGCAGTGCACAGGTGTCCGCGGCTCCCGGTGCAAGTTTTAATACCGCTGCCCAGAGACAAGAGAAGCGAAGTGGAAAAGTCGCGTTTCAGACGGCCCCGGTATTAGTGCACTGTCAGGATCGATTTCTGAAGCTGAACGCACTCTTAGATCCCTGCTCTGACGCCAGTTACATAAGTAAAGCTGCTGCAGACGAGCTCGGACTACAAGGAGAAGAAGTCAAATTTGAGCTTGGGACGGTCAATGGCAAGACGGATGTGAAAATGACGTCAGGAGCTGTCCGGATAGCCTCTACCCAGAGTAGGTTTGAAACGTCCTTAGATGTTCACGTCATTCCCAGTCTGGAAGGAGCCTCCGTATGTACGAGCTGGCAGGATGTGAAGCAGCGTTGGCCACACATGGTAGACATCCCCTTTCCAAAGATGGCTGGAAGAGAAGTGGACCTACTGATCGGTCTTAGCCCTGAGACAATGCCCATCTTTGTGCCTCTGAAGACTGTCTCCGGCGAGAGTTCGAGCCCAGTCGCTGTCCTAACGCCACTTGGATGGACAGCATTCGGCTGCGTTCAAGACAATGAAGATCCTTCTAACCTACAAAAGCTGAAGAGCATGACAAACGTCGCAAGAACCTTGAGAACTTGCCTGACAGATAAGTCACTAAACGAAGAAATTCAAGCAATGAGAGCGATGACAGATCTGGAGGTGCTGGACGTCAAGACCACCGAGACCAATCTTCTGTCAGCTGAAGAAAAAGTGGCTATGAAGAAAGCTGCAAGTTCATTGAAGAAACAAGGAAGTAGATATCAAGTTGCAGTACCATGGCGAGAAAACGAACCGCAGCTGAAAAGCAACTACGAATCTGCGCTGATTCGCCTAGTGAAGCTGGAAAATTCTCTTCATCGTCGGGGAGCTCATCTTGCTGCAAAGTATAACGACATTCTTGAAGAGTACGTGAAGAAAGGTTATATGACCAAAACTCCCACGGCGCAGAGATCAAACAGTGGAGAGGATGAGTGGTTCCTTCCACACTTTCCCGTCATTCGAGAGGACAAGGCGTCATCCAAGATCCGAATCGTGTACGACGCAGCGGCCAAAAGTGAGGGAATCAGTCTCAACTCACAGCTCCTTCCGGGACCATCGCTTTACAGCGACCTGA